TGGTGGTGGAAATTTCAATTCAGCTGGCTCCCAGCCAACAGGAAGGGCCTGTGATGCCCTAATGCTTACTGGGTAAGGTTGGAGCAGAAAGTGAGCTGATGGGGAGAGAGCGAGTCACAGAACTGCAGCATCTCAAGTTCAGAAAAGGTGTTCCGGGTCCTCTGCCAACCCCACTCACCCCCAGGAAATCTGCCTTCCAAGTCCAGCACAGCATCATGCTTGCTGGTGCTATGCATCTCCCCAGGCTCTGGGCCTCGGTTTCCCAAATGGAGCTGTGCAGACCCCAATCCCCCACCTACTGCAACCAGCACATGTGCGTCTATGACTCTTTAATACATTTGGGTCCCAGCAAGATCCTTCTTGACCAGACTTTCGAGGGCGAGAGAAAAGCTTGAACCCCCCTGGATTAAATACTCCTTTGTCCTCTCTTCGTCCTAACTGGATTCTCCTTCACAGAAAGAAGAAAACAGCTGTCTTCTTTCGCACCCCATCAGCGTCTCCCTCATTCCGGATGCAGGCATAAAGCAAACCCACAGGCTGTCCAGATGTTTCCGCCTACTTCCCCACCCTCCTGCCCAAGGAGACCCACTGCCCTCCACTGAGCCACTGAATCGAGTGGATGCCACTCATGGAAAATGAGGTTCAAAAGGCCTGTGAGCAGTTGGCAATTCTCCCAGGATTTTGCTGCACAAGGGATCCAGAGTTAGCAGAAGAAAATGAGTTCCCTACACCAGTGCCATTAGGATGGAGAAAGGCGGACAGCTTCAGCAATCGGGTCATGGAGAAATGTTTCCTCTGGGCTATAACTAGTGTTCCTATCCAGGCAAGTCATGCTTGGGGGGAAAAAAAAGACAACCATGTTTTTCTTCTTGTGATGATTACATCTACACCAAAACAGTCCTGAAAATAAAATCGTATCAGAGGTGAAGCTCCACAGATCCTCTCAGCCCTTGGTCTTTATAAGGACTGGGCATCTGCTGCTAGGCATAAAAGGGGAGTTTGGCACAGTCCTGGCACACAGAGCTAGGTGACCCCAGCACACCAGCTAAAGGCTGCAAGAGGGAGACTCTTACCTCTGGCTTTGGTTTTAGAGCTATAGTCTAGGGCACTGTGAGGCTGGAGGCTGTGTTTTAGGGCTTCCTGTGCTTCTCTGCTCTTGTGGAGTCTGAGATAGATATGCTCAGAGAAAATATACAGTCCCATTTGCCCAAAGCTGATGCCCTGTGCCATATGGGCACACCCTCACTGCAAAGTGCTGCACAGTGTCATTACATGGACTGACCCCTCCATCCAACAAGTAGGCTCATATTACCTGCAACTTTCATCTAAAGAAACAAAGGTTCAGAAAAGGGAAGTTGTGCAGAAACTCAGGAGAGGCAGAGCCAGGAGCAAAGCAAAGGCTCGGGTCAATGAGGCAACATACATACAATGCACCTTTGGACACAGTGGATGCTTAATACTCCTGCCTGTTCCCTACACCCAGCAGCTTCCCACACACCGCACCTTTGGAAACTTAACTACAGGTGGCTCTGACAGACGTGTCAGAGCTCAATCATGAGCTAAGGACATCTACATGGGCACATTCCTGGGATTCTCTTGGAAATTCCTGTCTGAGCGAAGTGAAACAAAGCCAAGTAGAAATCTGAGGAGATCCTATTACATTTCTGAGTCCTGAAAAAAAATGTCTCCAATAGGATAGAAGAAGCATATACCACCCCCATCTCCAAGACAAATGTCACACCAATGCCTGTGAGAGCTGGAAGAGTTTCCAGCAAACCTTACCCCTGGTGGCAGACCCATGCCAGACAGCTCCAAGTACAAAACAATTAATATTTTGCTTGTAGTTACACAGCAAGCTGATGACACAGACCTTTGATTTTTCCATACAAAGCTCCATCACTAAGGACATACTTCCTGGATGAGATAATTGAATTAGTATTTGTCCAGAACCCTGCAGTGAAAGGCGATCACCCACTCCTTCCCTCTGATGAAGGGGCTGAGTAATCTACAGTCGCTTGATGCCATTTAATCTAAAATGTTTGGGTGACTCACCGTCCCTGAGATTTCCCTCCAGGGTATTTAGTTTAAGAAAATATCTTGCTCCTTAATGTAAATGATTCCTTTTGGTTTAAGTCTTAAAGAAACTGCTCTGTCTGTGTCTGGTTTTGTTCCTCTCAGCATATATAATCTTTGCAGGGAATGCTGCCCCTGCCCAGCACCATAGCATCTAGGAGTCTGCTCAGTTGGCTCCTTCAGCAGCTATGCACCTTGCATGGCCAAGAGAGCTGTGACCCCTTGGACTCCGACCTCGGGCACTCCTTAGATGACTGATCTTTGTACTGTTTTAGTGTGGCTCAGGATCCTGTCCTCAAATCTGCCACCCATCCTCAATTGTTTTCTCCGTTATCTGCATGTCCTTTATTTTTAAGCTACCCCAGTTTCCCAGCCCCACCCCTCACAGCCCAATCTCCCACCTGGAACCACCACTTAGCCCTGCCTTCAGAGGGTGCCCTACCCCCATGATACAGTCCTAATCCCTTCCCCTTGCTTCATCTGAAACCCCCTGGACTTGCTTTAATGCACCCTTGGCCGGAAGAACAAACATTTGCTACAGTAAATCCCATTCGCTGCTTTCCAGATAACTTTTCCTTAGCAGCAATAAGCTGCCAGGCAGACAGATAACAACTGGGATATGCAGTTATTAAGGGCAGATTTTAAAATGACAAAAAGATACATTTTAAAATAAAGCCCACTTGAAAATCAGCTTCCCTTCCAACTCAATTACATTCAGGCCTCCTGCTCAAAGCTCCTTATACTGAGAGATTCCAGCTCCAACTGGCTTCAGGGTTTTTGAGGTGCGTTCCCTTGGCAACCTGGAAGGCCCAGACACCTGAAACAGGAAGTGGAGGACACAGTGCCTTCCCCTCACTCAGGCACCTGGGGTGGCCAGCATAGTGCCAGGCACAGGACCGGAGGGTCCGCTGCTTAAGACAAGGCGGAGACCTCCGCAGCCAGAATTCCCACCGAAAGAAGTGGGTTGGAGACAGAAGGAGCCAGCAGGGAGGACCTAATTTCAGAATAAGACTTGGTGATGAAGGCAAGTGCACCAGGACCGTGGCCGATGTGAGCAGTTATTTCGGCAGCCAGCTATACTTGGCAAGCTTTTTCATGCCAGAGTGACTGAAAGAGCCCCACTTACCTGGTGGGAGTCCCAATGCAAGCCCATATCTCTTGTGGTCATGACCCAGACCAATGCTGATCACCTATCCCCATCCCCTCACCAAGTCTCACAGCTTCGGGCATTCCTAACAGACATCATAGGCCAGCCCTGGCTTCCTGAACATCACAGGTCACACCTTGGCCTTCTACAGGGAGTCACAGAGTAGTTGCTAGCCAACCCCCTCTAGGATGCCACCAACAAACCTCTGAGCTCCAAAATGTCATGAAGGCATGTATGTCAGATATTGTGTCACAATTGATGATTGAAACTTTAATTACTTATATGACCAATCCATGACTCTCTCTTCTATCACAGAGTCAGCTGAAAATCCCCCCCTTTATCATAAGGACCTAGGCCACCCCAGCCTCTTCCTGTAGAGCTAGTCTTCTGCCCCATCTGTCACTGACGAGCTCTACACTGCTCCCTCCCTGTTCCCCAACTCTCACACCCTCCACCAGTCCACATATGCATCCTTCTACCCTGGACCTCAGGAGCAAAACTGAAGAAGTCCCTCACCCAGATTCTCAGTACCCCAACATCACTCAGCCCTTGCCTCCCGCTGTACTGCTCCTAGCCACTGCTGAGGCCAGGCTAGAGGTCTCTTTGCTGAGGGCTTATTCAGCTCCTGCTGAGAGCTCATGACTTGCAAGGACTGTCCTTCATGCTCCAGGCACCATCATTAGTAAAGACATCTTCCTCTGAGGTGTATGAAGTGTGTGTGTGTGTGTGTGTGTGTGGTGTGTGTGTGTGTGTGTGAGCATGTCTGTGATTACATGAGGCTATGCCTGAGTACATGCCAATCAGTTAATGCTCTCATTATTTCCTGAGAAGACCAAGCCCCTGTGGCTCGTCTAAACCATGAGTCATCTCATCTCTGGCCTCTCCTGTACAGGCCATTTCTGGACGTCATCCAAGTCTGTGGAGTTGGCTAGGCCTAGGACAGCCAGCCACTGACCACACCAGGATACCCACCATCAATTCCACATCAGCTCACAGTGACCACATCTGAGGTCCTTCACTTGGATAATTGTTCCAGCCCTTGCTTTCCATATTGGTCTCTTTGTTCTAGACTCTTGGTGTCATGGGTCCCCTTAACTTTGAGGATCCCCACCCTGGATAAAAGCCCACCTCCCCACTATCCACAATCCTGAAAAACTGTTCTCTATCCTCCATAAAAGGTGGAAGAGGAGGGAAAGTATTACTGGGAAGACTCAGGCCTGCACCAGCACCAGAACCAGCACCAAATAAAAAAGCCAAACCTCATTCTGAGTTGTTCGACTCATCTGTCTCTCATTTCTCTTTCCAATGGGCTCTGGCATTTTCTAATTCCCACCCTCCTTGAGGCTCAGTTTTCTGATTGTGGCCTTGTCTCACTCTTGGATCTGGAGGACACTCAGGCTGTAACCTGTCTCCTGCCTCAACCACAATTCACACTTGTCCCTGTGGTTGAGCTGATTTCACTGCTCTAAGAAAACACAATGTCCCCTATAGCCTCCAAGCAGGCCCCCTGATCCAAGCAGTAGGACCCAGTTATTACCAGGTGCCTTGCTCTACTCAAAGAAACTCCATTAGTGACAATTCCTATTTGGAAACCTCTCTGCACTTACTCCCTAGCATGCCCTATAAACACCAGCCAATGGTAGCATCAGCAGAGAGACACTAGGAGGGAGGATATCTGTGCCAGTTGACAGTTGCTGGGAGCCCAGGGACCCTGTAGCTGTTGCTACACTTCAGTGGCACCACAGTAGTAAGATTGAGAGATAGGGAGCCTGAGGCTTACCTTGCGCATGTCTTTGCCAAAAGTTTCACTATAGGTAGTGCCAAGGATTTCAAATTGGACATAGGGATTCGAACTGTCCTCCCGAAACTCCATCACCCCAGTGAGGCCAGTGATGTGGCCCTGCAGAAGAGGGGGAAAAAAACCATTGGAGGGTGATGAAAATATGGTTAAGGTAGAGGATGGAGTCCCAGAGACTAAGAGGAGAAAGGAAGTGGGCACCTCACCAAGAAGGGGGCACTCAGAGTCTTGAAACCATGGACAGGCTGTAATGAGGACAAGATGGGCTGGCAGTCCCAGGTCCTCAGAGTAGGATTGGTACTTTCCAGGCCATTTGCTTATGGGAGAAATCCCTAAAGCTTGAACCTGTCATTCATGCCATCTATATGCTTAGAGTCCCTGCTATATGCCAGGCACCATATGCTAGCCATGAGATTAAACAATGGTAGCTTTTGTCCCCACCCTCCAGAAGCTTAGTCCTCCCCTTGCAATCAGCTCCAGGTGCTCATCTTAACCAGACCCTAGAGGAAATTCAAAGGTCAACAAGAGACACAACAGACACATGATGGCAAGTTGAAGGGCAGCAGCCATGTGCATTGGAGGGCACAACCAGGACCCAAGCTCAGATCCTGGCTTTGCCACCTGTGCCACCTTGGGCACACTGCCCATCTCCCAGCTTTGGCCTGAAGTTAATTAGCTCCACATCATAGAACCCACAAGGACTAGAGGAGAAAATGTATACAAAGTACAGCATCTGGCATAGACTGGCTGCGGTCCCTATGCCTCACTCTACTAGCTCAGTGGGCTCCATAGGAGCAGGAGGCAACAGGAGGCTGAGGGAGCCGTGCTGAGCCCCTTTCTCTCTCCAAGCCCAGGGTGAGGTTCTCATCCAGATTTCTCTCTCATAGTCCCTGTGAGTCTAGAGTCCCAGAAACAGCTGGCCCAGAAGGTGCCCCGACTCTGCTCTGGGCTGCAGTAGATTCTCACCTATACTAGAACATGTTCACTGCTACTGAAACCACATGCAATTCATTGTGACTAAATTCCTAACACTATAGATTTCCCTGTATGCTCTTTTGAAGCCTTTAATGCCAATTCACTCTAGCAAATCTTCTATAGATTGCTCAATTCACTTCAAATCCAGTTTTCTAATTCAGTGTCCTTCCTCAGCACGTGAGACACATCACAAGTGCACACACAGGTGCACTCCTCTCTTGGGGAGTGGTGGTCTGCATAGAGGGGTACTTGGCAGAGGTGGGATAGGCAGTTGCCTCCCTTTCATACCTACTTGTGGCCTAGGGCAAGTTGCTTAACCTCTCAGAAGTTCTTATATTAAATTGAAGACAGTAATGATAGTATGTATCCATGGACCACAGCTCACCTAGCCTGCGGATGCCAGGACAGGAAGAGTGACAAGGAGAGAGGCATGGGGCAGCCACACAGAGCCCAGCTTCAGGCCAGCTGCTAGAGGGGAACACAGTGGAGGTAAAAGAAGGGGCCTTTCTTTGGCCAGGTTGAGGGTGCCCCCTCACACGTACCTTTTTGATAGTGTCCAGCATAGACCTCCCACCGTTCCATGGCTTAGTGGACTTCCGTATGCAGTTGAGGCTCGCCATGCTATGCCACTTCCGGTCCTCCAGTTTCCTGTGAAAGGCGTTGGCCAGCATCAGAACACTGTCATACAGATAGAGGTTGGAGATCTGCAAAGACAGAGGCAGTGAAACCTTTTCCACAGGTGTATTTCCAAAGAGCTTTGGAGAAACCCACAGAGGAAAGGAGGAATGCAGGATGCCAACACTGAGCTATGGTGCTCATTATCTACACCAAGATCCTCGGCTTTTAGGTGTTCTTTCAAAAATCCAGCCAGCTTCTGGAGTCCTGAATGGAATAAGACCTTGCCCTGACACAGGAACTAAATTGGGAGGTGCATCTGTACATCAGCAAGGAGAACCATGATCTGTACCTAATTGAGATGTGCACACAGGCTAGTTACCCACTCAGATAATGAAGGATGGAGGAAAGGATAAGCAGAAAGCATGGGGTCAAAGATTAGTAGGATAAAGGGAGGGTACAGCATTTGCAAAGACATGAAGGTGTCAAGGAACAGGGTCAGGCATGGCACAGTCTACCAGAGTTTTTTGTAAACGACCAGCTAGTAAAGATTTTAGGCTTAGTGGTCTCTTTTGCTACTGTTCAACTCTGCTGATATAACTTGAAAGCAGTCATAGGAAATATATAAACATATGAGTGCAACCATGTGCAATAAAACATCATTTTCCTAAACAGGCAATGTACTGGATCTGCCCTATGGGTCACCATTGGTGGATCCTTGGGGTTAGAGGACCTGAAAACAGTTCAAGATGACTGTGTCAATGGGTACCATATGGAGGGAGCAGGATCAAGAGAGAAGCGGGGACTGAGCCTTGCAAAGACTTGGGGCCTTGCTAAGGAGGAAGAGCAAAAGGAGAAGGACACCATTGTTGGGTCAGTGTACAGAAAGCTGGAGGTCAGACCTGGGCCTCAGAAAGACCACTCTGGTCACTAGACAGGTCTAAGGTAAATGGTGGCCCGAGTGACCAGGTGAGAGTGAGGACGGTGGTAACAAGAGGTGAGGATTTGGTGCCTGCTGTGCAGTGGAGTCACTGTCACCCAGGGAACACATTTGGGATTTGCAACTGTGCCCATCTGAGGACCACCCTTCTGCTTAGTTGTCTGTTCTGAGCTTGATAGTATAGGAGACACATCCCTGTCTCAGAGGTCTGGAGGGTAAGACTATGAGTGAGAATCTAGGGTAACAGTGTGAAGAATGACACTGCAGCATCGGGGCTCAACCCATGTGTGGGGTCCGGGGTGGGCAGGCCAGGCTCGGCCTCCTGACTGTGGCTACAGACCCCGATCTGGATCTGGAGGAGTTGGTAGATAACACCCACCCTCCCAGGGGCCCAGTGGGAGCTCATTGCAGAAAAAGGATAGCCCTGTTCTCGGATGTTGTCTTCACACCACCCCAGCCCTCCACGGGGTTATCGGAGCACAAAGGAGAGAAGGAGGAGGGAAGGGGTTGAGGGCGAGGTAACCTCCACCCTCAGTCAGGTTTGTGGTCACCCCAACTAATAACTGTTGCACAAACAATGGGCAGCCAAAGTGGGTCAAGGGGACCATTCCTGAACACCTCAACAGCAAGCCGTCTGCTAAAAATATTTCAGAAAAACAAAATCACCAGATAAAAATAGAAGATCATGTCAGCCTCACAGGACTCCTGGGAAGATCAAATAGGCTCCTTGGGCTGCAGAAAGAACCCCTCTTCCCCCAGCCTCACACCCACCCCTCCCCAATAAGTCCCCACACCACAACACCTCTGTGCCTTGTTCTCTGCCTGCAATTTACTTCCTCATGTTTCTTATTCCAGGTGATCCAAAAGTAGAACCTTAGATGAGAACTTAGGTGGCAGGAATTCTCCAGCAACTGCAGCTGAAGCTTGAGGTGAGCCTATAGGAGGTACAAGGTATCACAGACATCTGCACCATCACACCTGTCCAGCCCTCAAGGACCATTCCCAGCATGTCACATCTAGGCAGAGCTGACTGCCTCCCTTGTAGATGTCCTTGTACACAGACAATTGAAGAGCTCTGTCCTGTCTGCCACTGTCCTTTGCACCAGCTCTGACCACTGTGGGCTGCATGCCCAGCGTCTCTGCACGCTGTAGGTGTGACAGGATGGTCAGATGTTGCAGAGGTGTCAAGAGTGTGCTAAAACAGGAGCCTCAAGCTGAGGGGGAGCAGGTCAGTGCCTGAATTGACCCCCTTCAGGGGCCTGCAGCACACAAGTGCTTACCTGACATCAGGGAGATAACTAAGTACCACTACCCACCAGGAACTCACCCCCCATCGCACAGGGAACACCGTGACAGAACTGTGCCCCCAGCCACTCGAGGCCTAGAGGAGCATTTCCTCAACGAGCAGGATTAATTCACTCTTTGTTCCCGTCAACTCCCAGCCCTCAGGATCCCCCACCACTGCAGGCGTTGCTAAGACTTCCTCCCCTCTGGAAAACAAACCCATAATGGAGATGTTATTATAAGGAATGTAAGCCACTTAGAATTGGTTTGTTGTTTTGGTTGCTTTTTTTCTTTTCTTTTCTTTTCCCAAAAGAATAACTTGAAGCTGAGAGTCCTTGAAGTTGTGAAGATTTCTCTTCTCAAAACATTCATGGGTCTCCCAGCCACCCACTCATAGCTGATGCTATTTAACCAGCCAGGACTCTTTGACCCTTACCCCCACCCACCCACACACTCACACATCAGTGCAGAGCCCACAGCACCAGCTCAGCTGCGGCTCAGACCAGAACCCAGTGGAATCTCCCTCTTTCACTTCAGCACTTCTGTTCACAATGAATTAAGGCACTCAACAAATGTATGAATGCAGAGCGGTCTTGAACAAAGAGCAAAAAGCAGGACATGACTCAGAAAGGCCAAGGAAGCCCTCAGTCCTCCCACATGTGTGTCTGCTTCGAAGAGTGAATGCATCCCAGTTGACAGGAACAGGCTTGAGCAACGATCTTTTCCAGGCACAGATAGGCCTTCCCTCTGCCCACATACCACCCTGGATGTATCCTCTTTCATTATACATGTTGTCAGCTCATGAATGTGTTTACTTCAGCAATCTTTGAGCTCTTTAAGTAGTATATCTAGAATTCAGCACTAACCAAAGCACATAGCTAGTGCTTAATGTATGCTTCGTGGCTGAGCACATGGTAGACAAATGTATGCACAGATGGAAGGGTAGATGAATGGATGGATGGGTGGGTGTGTGGGTGGATGAATGGATGGATGGATGAGTGGGCGGATGGGTGGATAAAGTGATGAAGTGATAGATGGATGAATGGATTGGTGGATGAAGTGATGGATGGATAGATGGATCTTCTCAGAAGGTACACACCAGTCACAAAAAAGAAATTTTTACCAAAAAGAGGAATTATAGAAAATGGATAGCAGATAAAAGAGATTTTTTTCCCTCCAACTTTAACTTTGGAGAGAGCCTCCTTTGTTCAAACAGCAATTTGTTCTTGTCTAAACATCTTCCTGATCCTCCCATGGAGCTGTTTTCTTCTACTCCACTTACTCCTGCCTCTTCCCTGGTAAGATGCTGTCTCTCTCTGCCTTGGGCATAACCTAACACTGCAGTAATAATCTGTGGCTCCTCCATCTGCTCTCCAACCTCGGCATCCTAAGTGAGGTGACCTACTTTGTGCAAACTGACTTTAGCTGACCGTTACTGGTGGAGATGCAGAAGGTGGGGAAGGCCCTACGCTCACAATCTATTTGAGAAGGATTTTGGATAAAAAGATCACAAGTAGATAGTAGAAAGGCAGTTTATGATTGGGTCCCTCTCTATAACCTGATAAACATAACAGAAGTCTTTCCTCAGGGAAAATGACTAGAATACCAGTGTCAGGGTTGGTCATGCCAACCCCCTGAGAAGGAAGTCTGGAAGGAGAGAGGGCCCCAGATGCACAGATGCTCACTCACCATTGACCACCAAGGGCCAACATTCCAGGCTGGAGCCACAAGCCACAGGTGCAGAGAATGAGTCCTGGCTTGAAGAAGTCCTTGCCTCCCTCCCTCACCTTGTAGGTTAGGCATGGCACAGGGCCCATTAGCAAAGATAAGACAAGCCAGCAGATGCTGTCACTATTTAAGCCTTATCCGTATGCAAGCAGGAGCCCAGGGCTCTAGGTGACCTAGGAACGCTGCAGCATAAAGTTCCAGAACCAAAATAGCATTCTAGGCTGAGAATACATTTGAGAAGCAAAAGAGAGGTCAAAGTGCCAAGGCCAAGGGCATGGCAGAGGAGAGACCTGGCTGCAAAGCAAAATACCTGGAACCAGGTCAGAGATGCCAGAGGGAATGAAATCAAGGCCAGACAGAAGCCAGTAAAATGGCTTGAGGCCTTTCTGGGAGCCTGTGGGCTCTGTTTTAAGTGAGGAGAGAGCTGGAAAAAGGACTGGCTGGTTCATTTAGCCACCCCAGAGATTTATGCCGAGTTCCTCTTTCACTGATTATCATATAGTATGACTCTCACACTAGGGTTGCAGCTTAGGCAGGTGGTCTAATAGGATCAGCAACAGCTTTGGATTCATCCCAACCTGGATCATCTTTGCTCCCTGTTGGACCCAGGTCTCTACAGCAGTGCATGGATACAGCAAGCACTCAATAAATATTTATTGAACGGGTGAAATACATTCCACTAGCATCCACTTGCTAAGTGATATTGAACAAGCTGTTAAACACTCTTAGACTTATCTTGATGACAATAAAATATAGTGTGATCTGGGCTCCTGGAGAGGTGCAATGTGGCAGCCGTGATTTATCCACCTGTGGAATGCAGATGGTAATACCCCTGTGTGCCAAGTACTATTCTAAGATCTTTGCATGCATCTTTGTTTTTAGAGGGAGCAGAGACAGAAAGGAATAGAAGAGGCAAATAAAATACCTAAGCAGGCTCCTGACTTCAATATGTATGAGCTGAGTGCTCCTCCAAGGATGTCCCTAGAAGCTGGGGTCAGCAGGAGTCTGGATGCAGAACATGAGGACTACTGAGAAAATGAATTTGTACTCTCCAACACCACTCATCCTCTCCCACAAGGCTCCTTGGTCCCTAAAGCCTTCCAAAGGCGTGAAGGGGTCACGTCTGACTCCTACAGC